AACACAATCCCACTTAGGTTCGGAATAGGACATGGTTAACAAGAGACACAGAGACCTATATATAGACATGTGGACATGATGGTTTAAACTAAGGGTCATTAGTCATTACATAGTTTTCTTCCACATCATTATCGAAGAAGCCAAACTAAGGGTCATTAGTCATTACATAGTTTTCTTCCACATCATTATCGAAGCCATGACTAGTGCTACAATGGTCCATGAAGCTCCTAGCCTCCGCCGTGAATGGAGGTGAGACTCCATGCATATAGTGATTTTTCTTTTTTGGTGCATTACTATATTATTATTTTTTGCTAAAAAATTTCTATATTATTATGCGACATAAGATTGATTATATAAACTGAAACCAACCCTCCTAAATTATGTTAATGGTTGCAGGATGAACGGAGGATATGACGTTGTGATGCACATGATCATTATAATCCTCAACATTGCAGCGATCTTATATATGAGAAAGCACAAGATTCCCCTAGATGATCAGCTTTGGGGGCCTTTGATTGATTTCACTGCTTGCTATTTCGCTGGTTGGCTAATTAGTTGTGCGTTTTGGTGTACAGCAGCAATCGAGGATGTCTCATTACCTGAAGCATTATGTATAGCTTACATCATGGGACGCGTCTGTCACACGTTGGGCTTCTGTATTTTCCTTGGCCTCCTCTATTCTATTTCTCATCGCTTGCCTCTATACTTTGGTCTACCTTGTTCGCTATGGCTTTTACCCGCCATGATTGCACCTTGTTGTCCCTGTCTATGGAGAGGAGAGCAAGCTTGGTGGAAGTTTGTGAATCAACCACCGGAATCCGCTGATACTATTGTTTAACTAACGTTCATGAGAATCTACGATTTTCCCCCTTTAAGATGTAATTTGGGATTATTATTTTTGGCTCAATTTTTTCCTTATCAGACCATTTATTAATTATTCGGTTTTGAATCATGTACTTTTTCCTTCTTCTATCTAAACAATTCATACGACGGTAACAAATTTGTTGCTTTCGTTCGTTTTGTGGGTATGGTTGTGCATTACGTGTGTTGTTGATACACATTCAACTCAAACCACATAAGTAGCCAGACGTTATTGATCCTCTTTGTCTACTACAACATGATGTTCGGGTCCTTGGTGATGCAGCGTGTG